CAAAATTAGATATATTCAAAAGGTTAATCACACGAAAAAAATATTTGTAAAAATTGCATCAACATTCTTTATTTATTAATTTTTCAAGAGAATGTTGAACAAAACATAATTACATAGAGCAAAATATAAATCTACTAGATCAAAAGAAATATCATCTACATAGTCTATCAGATTCCCGAAATAATATACTAATATTTAACCTCAACACGAAATAATCAAGTCTATTCATGTTGATCCCTTAATGGTGCTAATTTTTTTGCGATGCCAACTTCAGAGTATCGGCTCACCCTTCTTTTCTTTCTATGCTCAATCAATCCATTTCGTGTTGAATTAACGCATAACTATATTTACAAAAAATGCAATTGATAATTTGATGAGCACAAAATGCAGACAGATAATGAAAGCGGGTAAATACTTACGGCCCATTTGATTATTGCCTCATATAACCACACAAAGTTTGGCATATCAACCCAGTTTTTCGGTAGGCAGAAATGATCAACCTCGAATAACCTATGTACACCTGGAATTGAATGATTAACTTTCTGATTATTTATGTAGGTTCAAAGCTACTTACTATATGTAATTAACCTTGGCAAAATTCCACAATGCCGAGTCAATTATAGGATGTACAAACTGGTTAAGATGCGGTTTTTCCAAGATTGTAATATCCCTCAACGGATTAAGATCCTCCAATGAAAACGCTTTTAAACTGAAACGAATAAAAAATAGATAGTAAATTGGACAAATGTTACTATAATGAGTTGCGTAAGTTCTCTCTTGTTCTTACAATTTCGGTAAAGTTTCCTGAATTAATTTTTTAATATTCTTTAAGTGTTCTGAATCACATTTATCGAAATCTATATTGTTGATGGCATTATCCCAGCCTTGCGCAGTGAAATCTTTATTGAAAAATGACGTAAGATATTCGTGAATATCATCAGTAATATAGTTGTCAATTTCATCAAAAACTTCGTGCAAAATGGTTTTTTGAAGTCCCAAATCCAGAAGTAGTGAAAATTTTGATTTTGGACGTAGATCCATTATAGATGCCTTAGGGCATTTACTTTAAAAAAATTCTGTAACTTCCTTTATGACGGGTGAAACTTCAATCGAGTCTTCAAGGATATCCTTAACACACATCGTCTATAGAAAATAGAAATCATTATTTTTCCTAAAATACCAACAGAAAATATTACAGAGACGAATTTTACTAACACTACTTTCACCGGTAAGTACATCTCCGCCTTCATTTTCTTCCAGTTTATTTTCTTCCGGTTTACTTTCTTCCTGTTTGTTTTCTTCTTGTTCATTATTAACAGTAGTCTGGGTTTTTGTACTGGAATCTTGACTTTCAGAGCCCCTGATGTCATGATCGTTATTCAAAGACTGGAGTATATTACAGTAAGAAATCCCAATAAAATTATCTGATTGGTTTATTTTTCAGGAATTTATTAAATAATTAATACCTACCCTTGCAAACTTTTCGGTAGTCTTTCCTGTCATGACCGTTTTATCAGTAACGACACTTAATTCAACATTGACTTTATATCGACTCTATGATAATACATCAAAAGTTGATCATTAATCGTAAAGTACGTATAATAATTGGGTATTACTAACCTCAGCAAATTTTAGGTCCTGATTTTCAAGGAAATTTAATATATCTTTTCGTTTTAGTGTTCTTGGCAGGTTTTCAAGAAGCTTGATAGCCTTATTTATTGCTCCCAACCGAAGACTTTTATGATTTGATAAAATTTCTAGCTGTTCCTCTAAAGAGTTTTGGATATCTTTTAAATTTTCACTTGTAAAGTTAACGTTATCTGATATATAGCGTAGGACTCCCAATACACTCCATTTTGAGCAATCGTTCAATTGAAAGTAATTTCTAATATGATTTTCAAAACTCATCTAAGGTACATAATGAATTATAGTTAACACTGACAAAAGAAAGATGCAAGACAAACGGGCACAAGACACAAGATACTGGCTTGATGTAATGCTTCTGGTAGAGAGCGGGAGGACTGATCTACAATGAGGATTGTTCGAGACAATGAGTCAAAGAGGGTACCTCCGCAACTTTCCTACCAAGCATCAGCCACAGAGAGTTACATAACGCAAGTGTTAAGCTTCGCTCTGCAGGTGTAGGAAATATTACATCCAATATACTAGAGACAAGAACGGAAACATGATCTACAATGAGGTAAGTTCAGCGAATGAACAAAGGGTCAAAGAGGGTAGCCTACGCCTCGCTCTAAACAACAACCGCAGGAATTAACTAGATAGTAAAGCAATCTCGCCCTGCCATACGGGTGTCAGATACTGTGGGTCGCCAGAAGTAATCTGATTTCAACTTGCCTGTAATAGCGGTGAAAAGAAAAATATTTTGATCGATTTCACGTCAATCAGTTAATGGACACGTAGTTATGTTTTTCTGACTTCAGTCTGGGAATATACCAAATTTGGTCATCGATGATCTTACCTTATTTGGTAAATGATCATCAGTCGGATGATTC